TGTGTGCGTGTGTGTGTGTGTGTGCGTGTGCGTGTGCGTGTGCGTGTGCGTGTGTGTGTGTGTGTGTTTTCCCTTCAGTTATGGTTGGTTGGTTTGGTACCGGGGATCAAACTCGGGTCCTTATGCTTTCAAGGCAGGTTGTGGCATCACTGAGTTAAATCCCCAGCCCTCTCTTCAGTTATTTTTTAAAAGACCGGTACATACATACTAGAAAAATCAGAACTTTCTGATTGCTAACTGGCAGAAGCAACTGAAGTGAAAAATATGTTTTCTTACTATTAGGAAATCATTATTTTCAATATGGTATATTTAAAATGGTGAGAGAGGGCTGGGGATTTGACTCAGTGGTTCTGCAGCCTGCCTCGCAGCACAAGGGCCCACGTTTGATCCCCAGTACAAATAAAATAAGTAAGTAAATTAAAAATTGCAAGAGAAAAATGTGAAACCAAAGTAAAATTTAAAAATAACTCACATTTCCTGAAACAATGTAAAAAATGAACCGGGTGTCAGGCTCATAAATAGCGAATTTTATTTATGCAAAAATTCAGAAAACATCACAATTCGGAAGTGTCAAATAAACCCCCCAGTATAACATGGAGAAAAGGGATAAAAGTATTCCTGAACATAAACATAAATTCCTTTCAAAAAGGTAAACATTTCTGTACATTTTATATCTTGATAGCACAGAAGAGTGTTGGCACAATTAATTCTAATTTTATCATTAGGACCTACCAATTAGGTTATATGGAGACCCACATAGCCTAATACCCCACTCCCATAGCTTACTAAACTTGACTCATTTGATTATTGCAGAGACACTGGTTTTTGAGAAAATAACTTCCAATTATTCTAAAGAGTGATACAGCTGTCCTAACTGGTTTTCTAAATGAGATATTACAGTTTTAATAAACATACGTGTAAAGAAGTATTCGAAAAAAATCTTATTTGGAGAAGTTTGTCCTTAATCAAGTTTTCTGGCTATATAAATTGTACTCTTTGGCTAAAATTTCAGGCTTACTTTTGAATATGCAAACTATTTCAGAGCTAAGATTACAAAAAGGCTGAACAAGGGCCGGGGATTTAACTCAATGGTGCCCCCGCCTGCCTCGCAAGCGCTAGGTCTCGAGTTCGATCCCCGGTACCAAAAAACAAAACAAAACAGGCTGAACAGATAGCATTTTTAATTTAAATTGCCATTTTAAATGTCCGTGGTCTTACAATTTTCTTAAAAGTTGTCCTGGCCTTTAGCAAATTTAACTCAAGCCTTTGGTCTCTAAACATACACAGCGGCTACACATTCGTCTCTGAATTAAAGGTACAGTTTGTTCCTTTGTGAATGGCCCATTGCCAAACAACGTCAATTCAATATCAAGGAGTCAATATTTTGCCTGTTAAAGAAACATGGGATAGTCGTGTACATGGGTCTAAGGTGGTTAACCATCTGGTAAACTTGCTAAAATGCGAGTGTGGTACTACAGAACTGCTGCTTTTTCGGTACCAGGGAACAAACTCTGGACCTTGTGCTTGCAAGGCAGGCGGCGGCACCACTGAGCTAAAATCCCCGGCCCTCAGAACTTGCTTCTTGAAGAGTGGAGTTCGGGCACGCACTCTGAAAACGCTCCAGAAATTTTGAACCATGGTCCAGAAATCTACCAAACCACATAGCCTTGGAAAACAAAAGTAGCTTAGTTGATTTTGATAGTTCTCCAATCCACAACATCCAATGGGCGGACACCTGAAGCGGTGGGCACTGCTAAGAGCCCCATGTCTTTTCTTTGGAGGGTAAAAAAAAAAAAAAAATGGTAGGGTCAGGGCCCGATGGACACGGGAAAAACTTACTCAAACCTAACTACGCGAAGAATCAAGTTCTCAGATTCCTCTGTGACCTTTCCAGGACTAAAGGCGAAGCACTCCAGCAGCAGCCGGAACTGGTGAGTAGGCACCCGCAGGACTTTTCCAAACGCCGCGCGCGCAGACACTCAAAGTCCGTTTCCTGAATTTTGGAGGAAGTGGCACTGCATCACTTCCGGCCTTCCTCTAGCTGCCATCTTGCGTCCCCGCGTGTGTTCTCCTAATTTCAGTTGGTCTACCCGAGACCTCCTGAGCGCCAGCCCTAGTCCCCCGCGCTGCCCCATAACCGCTCCGACAAGGTACAAAAAGGCTTTGGACGTCAGCGTGGGAGGAGGACGGGAGCGGGGGCGGGAAGTTCCCGGAAGGAGCGAGACAGGGAGGGACAGGGCTGAGGAGAGGAAGGCGATGCGACGGACAGGCGCACCCGCTCAGGTTGACTTTCTGGGGCGAGGTCGAGCCAAGGGCGGCTGCCCTGGGGGCGAGGTGACGCCGTCTCTTCCTCCA